AGGTACCGCACGGCAATCCGGCAACATCTGAGGCATCTCGCATTAATCCCGGCCACACATTCAGCCACAGACCGCAGGGAACCCCACTGCGACCGCCGATGCCGTTTCTCCTGACGCCCGGCTCAAAAAATAGACGCCGAGGCGGCAAGGCCTACCGGGTGGGGAGGCAGACGCAACCCAGCACGGGAGAACACTGACCCTGGAGTGTCCCAGACTTTGAGGACTGGTACCCCAGCACACACAGATCAGGTGAGATGGGGCACAGAACGCAGAAACTGCCCCAAAACGCCCCGAAACCGCAGCGCGACATAGGCCAAATGTTACAGGCGCAGTAAAGGCACAGACCCCACGTGAAACATCCCCGGTACCATCAGAGGAGGGAGAACCGCTAGACAGCCCACACCTTAATCCCCAACACCCCACACACACGTGGATGCCAGAAGCCAGCGCACTGGCCTCAAAACAAGATATACAGGCTATGCTGACAGGCCTGCAACAGAACTTAAGCCAAATGTGGGAAGCGGAACTGGCAGTGCTTAAACTAGACATGCACGCCGTGTCCACGCGCACTCGGGCGGTAGAAGAGGATGTAAAGGGACTAAGAGAGAATTACCAGGAACTGGGGGAGAAGGTGCGACACCTTCAAGCTGCACAAGCGACAATGTCCAGGCAAGTTACTCTCCTAGTTGACAGAGGGCGCCGAAAAAACATAAAAATCCGAGGGGTACCTGAATTAATACTGCTGGAAGAGTTGCCACACTTCACCAGACGCCTTGTGGCCACACTCCTGCCGACTAGACAATCCAAAACGTTCCAGTTCGACGGGGTTTACAGGATAGCCAAATCCCCACAAGCACCCAACTCAGCCCCACGGGACATAATATTGAGATGCCAATCAATGTTGGACAATGTTGGGGCTAATGGCACCTATCCAAGGGAAGACACCTCTTGACTTCGAAGACAGCAAACTCTCTTTCTTTCAGGATTTGAGCAGGGCCACACTGATATGGCGCAAAAGTATGCAACCAATCACCAAACAACTCCAAGCCGCAGGAGTCGCCTATAGATGGGCAACACCAGGAACTCTCTGGATCACTAAAGATGACAAGCACTACAGGGCCACCGACCACACAGAGGGCCCAGCACTGATGACCGCATTGGGAATATCGAACCTCGCAGCGACCTCAGCGACACAGCCAGATCATCGACCAGGGACAACGAGCACAGATTCATCCGCACCCCTGGAACAAGCAGAGGCCCGAAAACCAAAACCTGAATGAACTGCCTCACCGACGGCCTCATAGGCCTTAGTTTAATTAGTTTAAATATTTTAAGTTAATAAGACTGTTCATTTAAGTTATATGTAGTTCCCCCACACTCTGACGGCCATTACAGTGCTAAAAAGGCCCACCAGAGCCGAGCACACCAGCTCCGATAACAATCCCCCTTCCCCCCTCCCTGGGGTTAATGGGAAATGACATCAAGGGCAACATAGTAACCCTGACTGGAATCAAGCTCACCGCAAGGTCTGATACCCCTAGCCTAAAGCCCCAAGGGCACAACTTGATCCTGTCACACTACAGCGACTTATATATATACCTAGACACAAACTTCTGGTTTGGACACCTAGAGCACCGCACACATGGGTACCCACCAACAGCTACAATCAGGGACAAAAAGAGGAGCGTACATAGTCCTAGAAAGGGCACACATAGAGAGACCCCGCAACTACCGCAACTCGCTCCCTGTCCAAACTCGGAAGGACCAAGAGACACACCCAACACCCATAACTTATAGTCGCACGATCTGGAATTGGGAACAACCACTGGACCTAGCTGTAACTGCCTTCCCCCCTCCACCCACGACTCCACAGAACTTAGGGTGTCTTAGGCAGACAGAAGTCTTCCACCCCCACAGTTATTAGATTTCAAAACCTCACTATAACAATGTGACCTATTGTAAATATAAAATGTGTGTGACTAGCACATAAAAAATGCCTTGTATTTAATATGCACTGATTCTACTCGTTGTGTCGAGGCTGTTGTGGCCAAATTCATGAATCTGTTACCTTCCCACATGAAAAATAAAGAATTTAAAAAAAAATATGTATGTGTATTATCCATTTTTCTCCTTTTTTTTAATTGAGAGAATTTAGTTTTTTTCCCCCTTTTCCCACTCTAGTTGTTTTATATATTTCTCTTTCTTTTTCAATAAATATATAAAAGCTTTAGACATTGTCTTATTTAATTGCATATGCTGTTATGATCATAGATTTATATTTTTTCCCTCCCTTTTCTCCCCCATTATTTCTTATTCATTCCATTCATGTTTTTAAATGACTAGAAATCGAGCGCTGGAGGCGCAATGGATTATTGACTTTATTGACTTTGTAGTCTGTGGATATAAATTCACATTTGCGGATGAGAGTGTTCGTCTGCCACGCATTCAGTTCATGGAAATGATGTGTCGGGATGAGGATAATCGATACATCATTTCTGATTTCTGCCACCCCCTCACTCTGCCACTTGTCACCTCCTCCTTCCCTTACTCTGCCACCTGTCACTCCCTCTCTCCTACGCTCTGTCACTCCCTTCCACGCTCTTTCACCTGTCACTCCCTCCCACCCACGCTCTGCCACCTGTCACCCCCTCACTCTGCCATCCCTATCCCACCCCACACTAAGTGTTCTACCCATACTGCATCTCTATCACCCCACACTATGTGCCCTACACACTACATAACCTGCAAACATACAAATTACATCCCTATCCCACACCACACAGTGTTCCCTACACACACTACATAATCTACACACTATATCTCTATATTGCAACACACCATGTTCCCTATACACACTATATAACCTACACACTACATCCCTTTCCCATACCTCACTATATTCCATACACACTACATCCCTTTCCCATACCTCACTATATTCCATACACACACTACATAACCTACACACTACATCCCTTTCCCATACCTCACTATATTCCATGCACACACTACATAACCTACACCAGGCATAGGCACTCCAGATGTTTTGGACTACACCTCCCATGATGCTTTGCTAGCATTATGGGTGTAAGAGCATTATGGGGGATGTAGTCCACAACATCTGGGGTGCCAAAGGTTGTCTATCCCTGACCTACACAAATCATTTGGGGGAAAGAGTCATTTTCGGTTTTCAGCCAAGGGCATCCTGTATTTTCATTTCGGTGCATACCTACCGTTTAGTAAAAAAAACAAAAAACTTACCATTTGATGTCTTCTTTTTTCTAAAACCTTTTTTTTTTTCATCCCCAAAAAAGGCCAAATAAAAATCCATTAAGCCCATGAACTTATAAATTAAAGACCAGAGCGCAAAAAAACCATACCAAAAATAATATCCTTTTTCCCCCAGTTACGGCACCGCGCAGACTGAGCTCCGTAGACTGAGCATAAGGTTTATAAAGCGGTGCCTCGCTGGGTGAAGATGGATTGTTCTTTTTTGTCGTCGGTTTTTATTTTTTTATTTTCAAACTTTGATGTGAATTATGGCTTTTTATTTGGCCTTCTTTGGGGCTGAAAAAAGTTTTAATGAAAAAGAAGACATCTAATGGTAAGTATAATTATTTTATATTTACAGGTATTTCGTTTTTTGTTCCCCCCTCACTATTTTTAGGGTGAAGGGGTTTAATTTTATTGGGAAGTGGGATGACTTGGGGACCTCTAGTCAATTGTGATGGGGTCTACTGGGGGGGAAACAATAGGTCCTCCCTTATGTTGCTTAGTGCCCCCACCCACCACTCATGGGTGGGGGCCAGGTGGGGAGACAATAGGTCCCCCCCTTTTGTTACTAAGTGTCCCCACCTGCCGCTCATGGGTAGGGCACGGGGGGCAGACAATAGGTCCCCCCCTTATGTTACTCAGGGCCCCCACCCACCGCTCACGGGTGGGGACCTGGGGGAGACAATAGATCCCCCCATTTGGTACTTTTGGTCCCCACCCGTTGCTCATAGGTGGGGGTTGGAGGGGGAGACAATAGGTCCTCCTCCTTTTGATACTTATGGCCCCAACCTGTCACTCATGGGTGGGGGCCGGGGCGTATGCTAGGTCCCCCGTTCAGTTTAATAACCGCCACTAGCTCAGCCTCGAGGGTGGGGTCACTATGTCCTCCCCCCGTTCATTAGTTCAATAGGAGTGGGGGTATTTTTTTATTTTTTTTACAACAGTGAGCAACAGTGAGCAGCCACTGGCTGCTCACGGGGCAGAATTTACTTATACTAAGTCATCTTTACTTAGTATTAGTAAATTTGGCTGAAAGACCAATCTTCGAACCGAACTAAAAGTACCGAATGTCCTCCTAACATGAATGAACAAACTGTTCTCATTCTGTTAGGACGAAATGCCGTAGTTTTGCCAGCGTTCTGTCTAAATGACAGGACGTTCGGGAATAGTAAAAGGAGGCATCGCGAGATCACGGAGAAAAGGTGAGAATTGTGGGAAATTGCTCTGACAACAGGAAATGGAGCACACTTTGCTGCACCGCTGGTCATAGCTGGTCAGGCATAGGACAAATACATTAGACAAAATAGTCCCTAATTTGTCTTATGTTTTAAAGAAAACTAGAGCAGACAGGAAGAAATGAAGAACAGGTCCTGAGAGAGGGAGAGAAGAGGAATCGATTGGGGAAAGGTACGTTTGGCGTGATAGTGCCGCTTTAAGTACGCTAGTGGTGCTAATTAATTAGATTACATGGTATCTAGAGTATCCCTTTATAGCAGGTTCACCTTTCCAGCCTCACGCAGGAAAAGCAGATCTACTCTATACCACAGGCCAATACCCTTAACAGTATATGACAATGACCAGCAACCTAAAGCTGTATGTAAAAGAAAAATAACATGGACATATGGTGAAACCTATGGAATGATGATATTCAGTTAATATAGCTATACATGCAATAATTAAGCAATAAAATAAATGAAAATATCTTTCGGTTAATTAGGCAAGTATTACTATACCAATGTGTCTAACCTTCTCTCTGTATCCAGCATTGTATCAGTGTAGAGATACTGTCTCAGCATATCAATCATCTCCTCTAGTTTCTTCATCAGAATGGATGACAAGCTTGTTTCCTCATCTTCCATGTCATCCGCACTGTAAAGGTTAGCTATAAACAGACCAACATTTATTATATCTTTGTATGTTTCTTCACGATGTTTTAGCAAACAGAGTTAATGACAAAACGTCCTGTTGAGTGATATATACGCGTTAGTGTGTTATGCTACACCATTTCCGTGCAGTATTTTCATTCAACAACAAGGTGATATGACTAGCAAAATATATGCTAAAATGAGCAAAATAACAAAGGTGAGAAAACAATATCCAATTCACACAGCTTGATATGTGTTTCCCATTCTTTGATTTTGGTATCAAAGTGACCACATGTAGGCAATTTTCTATTTTAAATTGTGCAATCACATATTAAACAAAACATAATATTACTTACCATCACATATATTAAAACATTAAATAAATGGGTATATATATTTATTTTAAGTGTCACTTTCCAATTGTGTGTTTACAAGCCATATATACACATAATAATAAAATATATGCATAAGCACAAGTTTGCATTTGCTCTGTTCTCATTTTTTTACACAAGCTACTTTAGACACAGTCTCTTTTTAAGAAAACTACAGAACAACTGGAGAATATATAAATTAAGCATTTGCAGAAGAATTGGAGTACCTTTCAATTCCCAATATCAAAGAATCAAAGACAATAACCAATTCACATTAGTTTAAAAAGTAGCCACATTTCAGTTAAAGTGTTTTTCATACCCAAGGTACTTAACTGAAATAATAATAGCATACATGGCCATAAATAGCACTTAATGTATTGGTTCCAATCTCAAGTTACCAACCAAGCATATGCTTTTCCTCATTTGAAAGTAATAATTCATTGTCTTCTTCTCTGTCCAGTACTTGCTCCTCACTTTCAAAATTGGATGGTTCATCATTTGAGTTCATAACATTCTTAGATTTCCCTGGCAATTCTAGGGATTCCAATGAATCTCCCACAAAGATCTGCAAGACAATCCCAATGCACATCAGACATGTCAAAGCTTAATGTTGTTTCCCATTAATGAATGGATTTGAATATATTGTTAATTAAACTATAACAAAATAATTTAAATATGGTCATGATATTACCATTATATGTTTTAAATATTATCCACACTTTCCATAATTATCTAAAATGAGAAAACTTAACAGAGAAATAGCTTCCAAGTTATTAGAGTGTAGAATGAGAAATCTCCATTTGTATTGTGTGTTTAAGACAACAAAAACACAGTATTTCATGAAAACTGCTACAACAAATAAAAAGTATTTTAGCAAAGAAAAAGTAACAAGTACCTGTGCCTCATCTTCTTCAACCAGGGTATGCAGTTTTAATGGGGAAACTGAATTTTGTCTTCCTGTTTGTGGTTGGAGTTGGGTTGGATCACTGTGGGCATCTAAATATGCTAAACATTAACATACAGTGACATGAATTACAAGATAATTCACATTTTGACTGTTTTAAAGATAACTTGTTTCTTGTTTCTATGAGCAAGTACAATTCTTAATAAATGGCTGTAAAAAAGTAAAATGGGAATTATGTAAAATGTTGCACTTGTTATCACATTTTCATTGCACAGTTGAACATAAGAGATACAGACACAGAATCAATCAATTGAAAAACTATATATTGCTTAACGAATGTGGACACGGAAAAAAAAAAAATCTTCAGAGCAATGATATGCCTCCCTTGTAATTAATAGTAATTATTCCTGTGCATAGGCATAAAATCTTTTCTAAGGACAGTCATTATATTAACAGTCCTACAAAGAAGCACCTATTAAAAATACAAATTTAGAAAAGAGTAAAAGGGAACATAGGCAAAAGGATCTCTGAACAATCTTGTTCAGGTCAGACCTAATGAAAAATTGAGAAGGAGTCAAAATGGTAAATGTTAGAACGTCCCCAGTGTATGTGATAAGTTTATTGAGTGCCATAAATACATAGAATCTCAGTGTTTGTTCTATAGTTAAAAGAATGTATCAGCCTCAGAGATCATCATGAGTTGGGCTAATCTCTAAGAAGTATGGTTACAGACAGTCTCCGAGATGGTCTCCCACAAAATCAACACACCAATAATCAGATGGATGCCAAGTCTGTTCTAATATAACTCCACCAGTAAGGAGGAAACATCTCCTAATTTTTCAGTATTTTGTTAAGAAATGGCCAAAATCCTGGAACAAACAGGCAGCTGTTTTAATTCACTATGCCACAATGCATTATGGTTTATTGCAAAGTAACTCTGCACAGTATAAATGCATTTGTTGCATTGCACTATTTTTACTTGAATTGACTGGTCTCCAGGAGAGCATTAGAGTGCCAAACAATTCTCGAACTGCAGACACACATTGTAATGTCTACAAACAAACCTGATTCTTTGGCATCTCCTTCGTCAATGATGTCACATACACTTCCTGATTCACTATCATCATCTTGAATGAGATCTTCTCTGGCAGGCTTTCTCATGCCTATTGCCTGCTCTGACAATATTTTGAACTAAAAGTATAAAACATATATATAAGTATATATACATCTATATATTATACATATTATTATTCAAAGCTAAAAGAGAGTAATACTATTGGTAGAGTAGGGTACTGAATAAATGTAGCAGCATATTTCAAATATATCAGTTTTGCACTTAATATTCAGTTAACATGCACTGTTCATGGAACAACACAAAAAGTGTGGTTGAATGGTAGATGGAAAAAAAATTATACCAAGAATAAGAGAGGAAAAAATACATTTATTTACCTCTAGGAGCTTCTCCATGATGTCATCTATTTGTTTCAGTTTTGCACAAAGCACTTCCAAATGGTACAATATGGTGTCATCATCAGTTATAGCCACACCTGTGCTTTGGTAATCATGTTGTTGATCTATAAAAGGGTTAGCAGACAAAACATTACATCGATCACACATGTAAATATTTGGCTGTTCAATTTGCAGATTTACGCAGATCATAATCATGGAGAAATTTACTATACCATGAGTTGAAGACACTTGAGAACCCTCTTACTGAATACAAATTAGGTAAAATGATCTGACATCTTGGTTGATATGATGACCCAGATATTTCACAAATTCTGTCAAAAGACACACACATTGACACACACATACATAAACTACAGCAAAAAAAGGACCATTTGTTTGGTATATATGTGTGAATATTGACATTAATCACATATTCAATAACTACAGAAACAGAAATTTTCTGAAAGCCAGTATTAAAAGAAGCACATCTTCACATCCCAGACAACCTAGACTGTTTGAAAAGCTATCCTGAGAACACATATTCTAAAAGGTCCTTGTATAAAACCTTTACATATAATAAAGATAATCGTATCTCATATCCATATCCCAACCCAGAATCCATAACTGCAGTGTATGAACTGTATACCTTTTTTTTTATTGCAAATCTTATTTTTAATAATATTGTAATTAAGAATTGTAACCATAACACAGTGAGAGGTGCAGGTCCCTATGCAGAATAAGTACAACCAGTCATGCAGGACCCAGGAGTCATCAAATGCAACAAGATAATGAAAGCAATCATACAAAGCCATCTGTACCATTAAAACCAGTATTGATCTCTACACGCATTTCTTCCATGGTTACTTTCCAATTCTACCAGCATAACCATATTATGAAAACCTGTGTTTCTCAGTTAGTTTCCAATTCACTTTCATGCCGGAATACCAAGAGAACGTAGACTAACCATTTTTAGGTGTAGGATACAGATTCCCAATGTCAAAAATCTCCAACCACCACCTACGCTCATGATCATTAACCTATATCATGTGTTTACCTTATGGGTGTATGAATTTGCCCTAACTCTATTGCATATTTGGATGTATTGAAACATGCCAAAGTGTGAAACTCAACCCATCGAAACCCCTGAACTTTAGGTCTCCACTCAGGTGGTGTGACGGCCCCGGGCTCGCCGCCATGTGCGTCCGTGCCCGACCGGCACGACCGCACCAACTCACTGAGCTTACCTGCTCAGCGGTGAGCTGGGAACCGCTCCTCCACGCCGCTCGGGGAAATCCAAGATGTCGCCGACCATGAGGTCGCGTCCATCCATAGCTCCACCCCCCAAAATTATACGAACGTGCGCGTGACATCACGACGTCAACGCACGCGCACGTTCTGGGGTCAGAGGTCACCCTCTGACCAATCAGAGTCTAGAGAGGGATATTTAAATCCCTAATTCCCCCAAGTACCTTGCCCTGTCGTGGTTTCCTGTTCCTGGTTCCCTAGAGTGCGTTTATCTTTGTGAATATTACTTCCTGGTATCCTGATGTAGGCTTTTCCCTGGTTATTCCAAATTCTGGTTCCCCTGACTTGGCTTGTTTAAACGGTATCTGAGTATTTCTGGCTTCCTTGACCTCGGCTTTCCCTTTGACCATTCTCTATCTCTAGCGTATTAGTCCAGCCATATTAAGGTCTGGTTTACGCTCTGTCCTTTTATTTCCTTTCCTTTTTTATGTATATGTTTACATAGTTTCTGCGTGTTGGACCACACTAGCAGCCGTTACAGGGGGCAACATCTCCGAGCAGGACCACGACTTCCACCAATGCGTGTGACAAGCTTGGAGAATTCTTAACAGCATGTCAAATAAGAGGAGTTTCCATTCCATCCATCGTGCCAATTGCTAATTAAACAATTCTGAGAACTGTACACTGTATTAGTGTGACAAATTCCCCAAGTTGTCATACGTTAAGACGGAGCCTGGAATTGTGGAATGGGTTACCCAGCCTATTTAGACTCACGCTGTTATCTCCCATGGGCCGTTACCACCTGATTCAGAGTTGACCCACAACTTCCAGTTCTGGCCCCAGAAACTCATGGCATTCGGGCATATCGAAATCTTTAGCAATCGCATTTCAGTCCACTCAGTCCGGTCTTAAACAATGTGTAAGTGAGACACAACTATGTTTTCACCCCTTAAAGGGTCTTTGACATGCATGACAAATGCCCTTTCAGGGGTAAAACATTATGGTGTCTCACTTATCCTAATAAATAAAATTGAAGATTCTTGGAGTGCCTAGATCCTTTTTCTTCCACTAATAGCAACTCCCTGGGGCTGTGGCTGGCCCTTGGTCCAGTTTAGCACCCGGATCTTGTAATTGGAGTGCGTTTTTTTTTTTCTTTCTCTTTTTTCTCCTTTAACAATGTGTGGGCAGTACTGTTAAGCCTCATTCGGCTTTAGTGATTTTCTGCAAATTGTATTCGGCCCTCATTCACCACTGAGTATCAATGGTAGCTATTGTGCAGACCATCCTTCGGGCATATTATGGTTATACAAGGTCTCATTCGGCCCTCAGTCAGCCTCTAAGTATTTTTTACAAGTCTGCTCTCTATTTCTATCAAGCCCTCATTTGGCCTACATTAACTTTTTATGGTTAGGTATTGCAGCCCGATGGTCTCAAGTTCTGTCAGCCCTAATTTGGGTTAATACATATATATATATATATATATATATATATATATATTTTTTTTTTATTATTATTATTATACAATCCAGCTTTTCACTAGTTTTTTAATTAGCCTTGCTTGAATGAAAGAGTTCTTTAATTTAATTTCATGACAGAATTTTTATCAGCAATACCCTCTTTTGAGCAATTTCCATTTAAACGTTAATCACCTTCACTGTTGAATATTAAGTGGAATTGTTGGAGGGGTTTCCCAGCCTATTTAGACTAAAACTGCCTTCTCCCCTAGGCAGTTCCTGCCTGATTCAGCCCACCCACCATTTCGAACGTCAGTTTCGGCACACTACAACTGGTTTATACTTTTTCTCGGTTTATTGTCTCTGACCACAAATTTATATATACACCATAACGTGTGCTTGAACTACTATTGTAAATACTAATGACACTAGTGGTACTACTACTACTACTACTAATAATAATAATAATACCTTCTAACATTAGAATAAACGTGTTTGAAATATTTAATAAAGATAAAAATATTTTATACAAGTACCATAACTAGATGCTACTGATTGCAGCTTCCTGGCGCCAGTCTTGCTAGTTTTCACCATGTGTGTAGAAGATAATCTTCCAGGTATGCTGGATATGGAACTTGAAGCAGAATATTGATGCATTCCATGTGTTCCCCATAACCATTCACGTAAGTGACACAAAGCATCCTGAAAATAAGTATGCAATGCCACGCAAGCACGGATCCTGCAATAATACAAAATCATACTCATTTCACATTAGAGTTAAAATCAGAGTGCTGACAATATTAATGTATAGACTAGAGTATATAGACGTATACAAAACTCAAAATTGCCAGTCCATATATTGAAAGACCATATAACAGTCAATCAATGCTAATTGCCATCTTAACAATAAACTAGAAAATAACCCACGTAAAACTACAATTAATAGCATACATTTTTCAATAAAGAATGATTTTTTTTGTTTTTTTTTTAGCAGAGTTTATATATATATTTACATGTTGGTGCCGAAGGCTTAACTTTTTCTCAAAGGTCAAATACGGCTATAAAAAATGTAAAATTGTTTTTATTATATTTATTTGCATATATAGCACCAACCTATTCTTCAGCACTTATTATAAAAAGGGGGAAATTTAACAATATATGACAATTACAAAATATTTCAGGAAAAATAGATTGATGAGGGCCCTGCTCAAACAAGCTTACAGTCTAGATGATCAAACATATTATTAGTTATTTTCTATGGTACTCACTTTTTATGCAAAGTACTGTTGCTTTTTGATGTCTTCACCTTATGTTTCTCTTTTTTAATGTTCTTCTGTGGTGCATAAACATCAGTCAATGATGTGGGCTCACTTTCACTTGTCATCATGTGTTCTCTTACCATGTCCCAGAGTCTATCTTCTGAATCTCTGAACACAAGGCTTTCTCGCAAAAATGCTTGGCAGTTTTGCACCAACTGATTTGACACCTTAACAAAAGGGAATTATTTGCACCTCCTCAGAAACATTTACATATTTTTAATTTTATTATTACATTTTAAAACATTGTTCAAGTAGCAGCCTACGAACAAGAACTATTAAGTTCTTGTAGTCACTGTTGTGCAAGTAGCCTGTGTTCTGTAAATAATAAAAGCATTTTTGAGCAGTCTAACACCTCACTATCTGCTACACTTGGCCATATTTGTATGGCAGGGACAGACTGGCACTTTAGTAATATACAAGTTCCAGGTCACCATTTATTACCATGGAGAATTGGTTTGGGAAACACTGTTATAGGGGATTACAAATGTGAAATGTAGAGTTTTCAAAGAATGTTAAAGTTGTGGAATGTAGAGTAGATTATACGGCTAGGCGCAGGAGATGTCCTGAATATCAAAGTGGAATGAGGTAATGGGAGCAAAAGAGAGATGTAAGTCCTGGGATAGTCAATCATAAAGAGATTTCAGATAGATGTTGATTGACACAAGATGGTAGGAAAGGTGACAGGTTGGGAGATCAATAGTAGATGGCGGTGGAGAGGACTGACCGCATAAAGGCATAATCCAACGGATTCAATAACTTTGTCATTAGAGGATGTGTATATGAAGAAGAGCAATACAGAATTTAAGATCTGAGTTCTACAACTTATACCCAATAAAGTGCCACAGATCCCCATAGAGTGAAAAAGTTTGCAAAAGGATGGACAACTTGCTATGTCAAGGGTCACAAGCAGATCCAGGAAGATGAGTAAACAGAAGTGGCATTTACCCATTGTGTTGTCAAGCGTTCATTTGTTACGTGGGAGTTAGAGCAGTTTTGGCAGTGTACTGGAGACATAAATTAGATTGCATTGGATCAAATGGGAATTAGAGAGGAAAAAGTAAGATAAGAAGTTGTAAAGGAGACATTTCAGTAACTTAGAACCTAGGTAGAGATATAGAGTAGTAAGTGTCACAAGGTATATATATATATATATATATATATATATATATATATATAGGTATATACAGTATTTTGCAGTGCACCAATAGGAGCATTTTTATGCCATTTAGTTCATACATCAAGTGAGCAATGGGAAAAAAAGACATTAAAAAAAAAAAACAACAACATGTATTTATATATTTAAATATTATATATGTATATGATATAGAAATATAGAAATATAGTTGTTTTTTTACTGCTTCCCCTTTTTTCCATCTATTGCTCACTTCTCACTTGATCTGTAAATAAAATAAACATTTAGTGACCGTCCTCAAACCATCTTTTTTTTCCGACAAATCATCTCTTTTTTTTGGTGTCACAGGCAGAATTCAGATTCACTGGAACAGGTAAGCTTGGCCATTGCGCATTTCTGTTGGCTTGTAAATCTGGCACATTTCGGCTTGGTCTTTGGAAATTTGACTGATCCCCTGAACAGTCCTAATTCAGAGGAATTGCAGTTTGTACAAGGACTAGTAAAAAATACAAAGACAATCACACCAGCATTTAAAGGTTGTACCTTTGTGAGCAGCAGGCCCAGATATCCATTCCTAGAGAAGAAACGAGACATGGTTTCCATTTGCCGTATGCCGTTGAAGAAGGCTGGGAGAACACTGTTGGTTAGAGTGACTGGGTCATGTTCAGTAGCTAGGCTATCCAAATGGCGATACAGTGCTTCCAAGTACTTAACTCGATCTTTGGCAACATTTGCTGCATCTGTAATGCTAAAAAAAAAAAAAAAAATTATTATATATACAAAACTCAAGATGTCATTATTTTCTCTTTAAAAATTCTTCATTATTAAATATCTATTATATTGTGTTAGGGCTAGGTTTATAGTTAATGTTAGGTCTTTGTTATGTCTTTTAATCTCATGATTTTATGGCTGCACCTCGATATACAGGTATATATTCCAGCCCAATTTATATTGTCCAGCAGTTGCTGTTTGCAGTTACTGTCCTGTTGCTAAAATGTGGAAGAGAAGGAGCTGAGGAAAAATAATAATTTGCTAGGTCCCCTTTCAGCCTAACTGCACAGGGTAATCCCTATTGCTGGGTACCTCTAATAACCAAATGTGACCAAGGACTGGCATCCTCATCTAATGTATAGTTAAAAAACCTAAACCCCAGTGTACCCCAATTAATTCACCCTATGTGTAAAATGAATCACAATAATGCTAAAAATGTAATCCTCACCTGCTCAAACTCCTGAACACATATATGCAGATTACTCCACACACTTGCTATGTGCCATGGCATGCCCAAAGGTCCAAGCATTACCAAATAAATGCAAGTACCCAGTACTCTGGACCTTAATAGTGCCACTCATTCCTCCAAGTAATGTACTAAGGGGGTAAATACACCATGCACATCAGCTCATTGAATACCTGATATCCACAGCCTTCCATTTTTTCAGCAGACGGGATTTAGCAGAAATCAACAAGCCAACAACAGCTTTACATTCTTTGCCACGCAGTTGTTCTATAAGAAACCCCAACATTTTCTGTCTCTTATTCCATCGTTCCAGCTCTGTCAGAGGAGTTGATGTGATATCTTGAACTCTGTGAATAGGAGTCCATTATTACGTTCAGTTATTCTCCATTTTCCAAAAGTGGAAAGAAGTGTACATTTAGTAAAGCTTTACAAACCTATTAAGAATCCTAGAATAAGCTAGGAGTGAGTTGTGGTACGTGACTAATTATGAGGCAAAATGTAGGCAGAATTTGCCAAACAAAAAAAGCTTTTAGAGAATTACTGGACTGAAATGTGTCGCTTGGTCGTCCTCTCTCCCTAATTCCCCTTTCAGGTAATTATTGGCTATGCTGTATGTATTTATGGCTAGTAAACCATAACAGGCAGGGTTGGGCTGGCATCATTTGTGCTGAGGGATAAGTACAAACATATGAATTTTCCTCGTGCATTAAACTCACAGACCTCTGTGTGAATGGTCAAACCCACACAGTGAATGTGATTCATAGTTTGGACGGATGGAGGCTGTTGGTGTCATGAGGTGTGTCATCAAATGTCCCTGCAGCCTCTATCAAAATGACCTGTGCAGCATGACAGAGCTTTCACAGATATATGTGCATGCCAAAGAGACACAAGACCTTAAGTCACTGTGACTCCATTGTCACTTATTAGTATCGGCATGTAATATTACTGTCATGAGCACTGTCTCATCCCAAACCCCTTCATCTCAATATAATACAATAGAATGATACGATTCATATGAATATTCTGACTACTCTCTGTTAAAACAGCTTCTATGAGTTTAGAATGGTCAGTTGGTACTAAAGAAGAAGTCCAGATATTTAAGGCACTATCAACCCTATTGATAGTTACACCCACAACAAGCTGTAATTTAATGTCTAAAACAATTATCCTTACCAGTATTCATCAATATCTAACCATTCTTAAAAATCATTGCATTTTACCTTTCATCCACAGCCTCCATCAAAATCTGATCAATCATTTTCATCCACTCAGAAACCAGTGTTTCATATTCTTCAACGACCTCTGAATCCACAATTGCAGATCTTTGTTGTATAAAGTCAGAGCTTAAAATATTTAGTGGCCTTCTCAAAATCTGCATCAGATATAATTTGTAAAATCAAAAAAAGTGTATTCAGTTTTTTTTTTTTTTATCCCACAAAATAAATAAATTGCAGTATGTTCTAATAATCTTGTTAAAATAAATAAATATATAAAAAATAATAAATAATATATAAACTGTATATGAAATAAAATAAGTTGCAACTATGATTGTTTTTTCCTGTTTTCCTTAAATACAGCTAAAAATAAACACACAACATATCATTGCAAACAATAGTAATTCAAATGCAAATTGAAAATATAACTTACATGGACTAGCATTTTCATTTAACAAGATATCATTGTGTGAGATCACAAGAGATATTTTTTTTGTGTGAGATCAGTCAATTGCTTGTTTAAGCTAATGTCAATTCTGTGTATAAAAAACATCAGTTGCCAGTACGCATAGCATGCTGGTGGTGGACATAAAAGTCCTCCCTCAGTCCTGCCTCAAGGACTTTGTGACCTCTGCAGTGATGGGGAGTAACGTCACAAGAACTTTAATTAAAACCCTTTTTTTTTGGTTGGAGCAAACCATTAACTATCAAGCTACAACATGAATTAGATTAGCTCTAAAATTTATTATTTTAGTAAATACTTACTGTTGTAGGTCGCTTTTCAGAATTGGCAATGTTTGTAGCATCTTCAATAGCTGCAGCATATTTATCCAGGCCAGCTAGGAAATGAGTAACACTCTCCTGGCTGCAGGAACCCCAATCTTTCTGAGCTCGAAGAATTGGGATACAGAGTTCATTTAGTATAGATTTCAGACACTGCACTGGGTTCTCCTTTATTTCACCGCAAAAGATTTCCCTCTCCATTGTAGCAGCATCCACATCATGGGTTGTCTAAGTAAAATTATTAGAAATTTCATACATAAATTAGACTGAGTGTGCGACTCTAAGATCTACTCATTTTCTCTGCAGTAATGGAGTCATAAAGCGTTAGTAAACCACATCAGTTCTGCAGTTATAAGAAATATGCAGAATTATAAAAAAATGAACCTCAAACATAAACTGATCAACCACAACATTAAAACCACCTGCCTAATATCGTGTAGCTGCCAAAACAGCACTGATTATATTATTTATATAGCGCCAACAAATTCCGCAGCGCTTTACAATGGGTGGACTTACAAACATGTAATTGTAACCAGACAAGTTTGACGCACAGGAACAGAGAGGTTGAGGGCCCTGCTCAATGAGCTTACATGCTAGAGGTAGTGGGGTATAGTGATACAAAAGGTAAGGATAGTATTAGAGAAGTAGATTGGTAGAGTAGTATTCACTGAAAACTTTGTGGTTTTTTTTTAAATGACAGTTGCAGGAGAGGAAACAGTTGGGAGCTATTAACAGTTTAATTAATACACTTTTGTGAAGAAGTGAGATTTTAATGATTTTTTGAAGGAGTGGAGACTGGATGAGTGTCTAATGGAGATTGGAAGGGAGTTCCACAGGAACGATGCAGTCCTAGAGAAGTCTTGAAGGAGAGCATCAGAGGTGGGAGTACGAACAGCGGTTAGAAGAAGGTCTTCAGCATAGCGTAGGGGCCTAGATGGGACCTACTTGTGTATTAAGAAGGATAGATAGGTGGGAGCAGCATTATGTAGAGATTTGAAGGCATGAGCTTGTGGACCTGTGGTATCTGGCACCAAGACATTAGCAGCAGATTCTTTAAAGTGAACCAATGTAAAAATTAACTTACCTAAAATCGCTCTCTGATACATTGGATACACTGTATATGATAATAATACATAATGTATTCAATGCCTATATTGACTGACTGCTGGAAGAAAAATCTATTTTTAAATATGTTTTTCCCAACAGCTATAACAATGTATAGATAAAATTTTATGCTCAATTTATCTAGCAAGAGTTGTTTGGGGCATGACATGTGCCCTTTAAGTCCTGCAAATTGCAGTCTAAACGTGTGGCCTTGAGTTCTATGTATAGTTCTGTTTATACTTAAATTTCCAGACTATGGTTTGTATTGGCCCCGAATATATTTGTGTAATGTTATCATATCCTAGACATGTGCAATTCGTTTTGGTCCGAATGTGAATTCGGACAAATTTCAGCCAATTCGGATATTTGGGTACTTCCGAATGTCCAAATAGATGAATTGCTGAATTGCCGAATGGTCGAAGTCCCGAAGTTCCGAAATTACCGAATTGCCGAAGTGCTGATCTGCCGAAGTTCCGAAGTTCCGAAGTTCCGAATCACAGTATTGCCTAAGAACGAATATACTTACCCAGTGGAAGAATGAAGAATGTTACACTGTATACAATTTTAAATAAAAATTTCCGAAGTTGCCGAAGTGTCAAAGTGCCGAATTGCCGAAGTCCCGAATTTCTAAATGCTGAACCGAACCAAAAATGTTCCCCATGCACATGCCTATCATATCCCCTCTGAGGTACCATTTTCTAAACTAAAGAGATTTAAATTTGTTAACCTTTCTTCATAACTAAAATGTTCCATTTCTTTTATAGCCCGCACTTTTTCTAGTGCATATTAGTGTATTATTTTATTTGAAAGCAAAGTAATTAATCTTATACAAATAGTGTTATTTTAATGTACTACTGACAAAGATGCCACAGGCATTAAGCACTGTGGTATATATGTATGGTGGCAATAGAGGGTTAAGTTGGTACAGTTAGGGAAAGTTCATGACCCCTGGTTAGGGTGTTGGGCAGAGTGGGACAAGTGATCGATAATATAACAAAGTATTCTGTGTTAACAGGCACTTAAAACAGGATTTAACACTTACTCTTAATGCAGCTGCCCTCACACAAAAAGTAGGACCTCTCCAGTTCTACTATAATCAAATGCAAAAAACACTATTTCCACAACCAGTGTGTAGTAGTGAGGGTGTGTAGCGCTAAATAGTGTTCACTTACTCCCCAGATTTGTTTAGGAGTACAAATGGTATTCAGATAGCTAGGAAAAATTACAGAAATATATAGTGTATTCCGATATATAAACGTGATCATACACCTTATAATTAAGAAGCACTAACGTGGTTCAGAGCCTATTAGGGATTGGCTCTAATCACTCGCGCCTTGTGTCATTGAGGTGACTCACACCTCTAAATCCAGATGAGATATATTCCTCAAAATAGAGAAAAAGAGAGAAAACAGGGAAAACTCGCCCTGGTGTTGAAATCCTTTTGATCACAGTAACAATTCTTTATGTATACAAAGGTAAAGGTTGCTTCTCACCTGGGTGAGAGCCTATGACCTGGCTCTAAGTGTATAAGTAGATGAGTCTGTTTAGGGATGACTCCCTCCCTCCTTAGGCAGGATAGAAGATGCACCAGATGTATGCACTCAAAATTCAAAAGACAATATTTATTTCATAGACATTTAAAATCAATCTAATACACACAGTATACTGGTGAGTCCAAAACGCGTTTCGCCGATTCCATTCGGCTTTCTCAATTGGTAACTTCCATCCTGTTCTGTTCCGACTAAATTCCCCGCCTTCCGATCCGGATTGGTGGCAAAGGATCATGTACCAACCAATCACGGACGTTACTATGGGGGAGGTTACATTGCCGCAGCTGTATTGTTTTATCCCATAATGGCAACGTCATCACGCACGCACATGTGACCGTGCGCGTGATGTCACTTCCAGGAATTTGGGAGGGCAGTATTCCCCCCCACTTGATATCCGGTTTCATCTGTCACAGGTTGTTCGACATCACTTCCTGCTTTATAGAGTTTTGATCAAAACCCACTTATCTTCCATTTTCTTAATCCAAACGTTCGTCCATTTCACTTACTGGCAAAGTACTGGCAATTAGAGGAATGTCCATAATATAGTTCTTTATCCTCTTTCCACTCTAAAAGTATTATGCTCATATTTGAGCGTTATGAATCAAACAAAAAAAATACAATAATCAATAAAAATTACAGCACAATAATTAATACAAATTTCCACAAATCTAATATAAATAAAGGGACCATGAATATCATATCCATCTGCCCAGAACCAGTGCATTGAATTAATGATGATTTACCCACTTCAGAGATAACATAATACATATAAAAATAAATGTATAAAATATGTATAGAGAAGGGATTTTACAATCTATTTACAATTTAAAACTATTAAAAATCTAATAAAATATTTATCATCAAATTGATCACCCTTAAAATTCATAAAAAAATTACAGAAAGTGGCATAATTCAAAATTATCATTAAGACCATAGGAATGCATAGTGTTTAAATTAAAAATCCATCTAATCTCTGTTTGTCCAATTTGTTTTATGGGATCACCACCTCTCCAATTTCCAATTATTTTTTGTATTCCCATAAACTCCATTAGATGTGGGTTAATGTTATGATAATTCTTAAAATGCAGGGACACACTATGTTTCAGGAACCCATTTCTGATGTTCCTAATATGTTCTTGAATTCTGGTGTTTAGAGTTCTAGTGGTCCTACCCACATACATTAACCCACAAGGACATGTAATCATATAGATTACTTTTGTTGTATGACAGGTAATTACTTGTTTAATTTTAAAATATCTATCTTTCTCATGTGGATTATGAAATTCCCTTATTAGTCTTTTACAATTTTTACAACCTGCGACGGATGAAACCGCATTTCAAGTGGGGAGAATACTGCCATTATGGGATAAAACAATACAGCTGCAGCAATGTAACCTCCCCCATAGTAACGTCCGTGATTGGTTGGTACATGATCCTTTGCCACCAATCCGGACGGAAGGCGGAGAATTTAGTCGGAACAGAACAGGATGGAAGTTACCAATTGAGAAAGCCGAATGGAATCGGCGAAACGCGTTTTGGACTCACCAGTATACTGTGTGTATTAGATTGATTTTAAATGTCTATGAAATAAATATTGTCTTTTGAATTTTGAGTGCATACATCTGGTGCATCTTCTATCCTGCCTAAGGAGGGAGGGAGTCATCCCTAAACAGACTCATCTACTTATACACTTAGAGCCAGGTCATAGGCTCTCACCCAGGTGAGAAGCAACCTTTACCTTTGTATACATAAAGAATTGTTACTGTGATCAAAAGGATTTCAACACCAGGGCGAGTTTTCCCTGTTTTCTCTCTTTTTCTCTATTTTGAGGAATATATCTCATCTGGATTTAGAGGTGTGAGTCACCTCAATGACACAAGGCGCGAGTGATTAGAGCCAATCCCTAATAGGCTCTGAACCACGTGAGTGCTTCTTAATTATAAGGTGTATGATCACGTTTATATATCGGAATACACTATATATTTCTGTAATTTTTCCTAGCTACCTGAATACCATTTGTACTCCTAAAGAAATCTGGGGAGTTAGTGAACACTATTTAGCGCTACACACCCTCACTACTACACACTGGTTGTGGAAATAGTGTGATTTCTGCGTTTGATTAGAGTGGGACAAGTAACTGGGCAGATTTGGTGACATAGCTGTTGCAGGGGACAAGAGCTGGCTGGGGATTGGTTGCTGGCCGCAAGCGAGCAAAAGAGAGGGAAGCCGGGTAAGTATAAAAGTGGCAGCGCGAGCGCAATCCCTGTCAGTGGTCTTTCAAGACAGGAGAAGCACAGACGGACCCCTGCCCTCCCTCACTTGCTAATTTTATTTATAATTAAAGGGACACTATAGTCACCTGAACAACTTTAGCTTAATTAAGCAGTTTTGGTGTTTAGAACATACCCCTGCAGCCTCACTGCTCAATCCTCTGCATTTAGGAGTTAAATCCCTTTGTTTATGAACCTTAGTCACACCTCCCTGCATGTGACTTGCACAACCTTCCATAAACATTTCCTGTAAAGAGAGCCCTAGTTAGGCTTTCTTTATTGCAAGTTCTGTTTAATTAAGATTTTCTTATCCCCTGCTATGTTAATAGCTTGCTAGACCCTGCAAGAGCCTCCTGTATGTGATTAAAGTTCAATTTAGAGATTGAGATACAATTATTTAAGGTAAATTACATCTGTTTGAAAGTGAAACCAGTTTTCTTTCATGCAGGCTCTGTCAATCATAGCCAGGGGAGGTGTGGCTAGGGCTGCATAAAAAGAAACAAAGTGATTTAACTCCTAAATGACAGTGAATTGAGCAGTAAAATTGCAGGGGAATGATCTATACACTAAAACTGCTTTATTTAGCAAAAGTAATTTAGGTGACTATAGTGTTCCTTTAATGTTGTGGTGTTGGAAAGCTCGGGGGCAAAGTCCTCCTCAGGTTCAAGTTCTGAGGAAGGATATGTGTTAAATGATTGTATATAAAAGTCGATCAGGTTAGCTATGATTGCCTGGCAATTAAGTGATGGCGAAAGTTAAAAAAAATTTGTATGTAAAGTGAAAAGTTTATGTGAATATGTTACCATTATCAAGTTATGGTGGTATGCCTCTTTTGAGCTTTAAATAAACACCACGGCCTAGCCCTTTGAAATAAAATAAACTGTGTCTGTGTTTATTGTTATTTATGCGAAATATTGCCTACCATACATATTTAAAAGGCATTTTTATAAATACAATTCAAATTACCTCTTGAGTAACTTATTATACAGCACTTAGGAATATGTTGGCACTATATAAATAATTGTAATAACATGTTAAGCCTCACTTTTGTGGATATTAAACCTATAATTTGTGTTAACATTGTTTTTTTTTTTTTTGTGATACTCTGTTTTCTTATAAAATTATATAACATTCTTAGAGTTCAGTCCAGGCATACATTGCAAATGAGAAAGATATGTATGAACATTGTTTCTATTTCTATCTCATTTCTATTTACTCTTTCGATGCGGACTACCAATTTATGAAAATGGTTGACAAAGCGCTAAAATGGAGGTACCAAGTTACAAGATAAACCTTGTTGATTTCTAAAGTTTATTATTTTTTTTCCTTTCACACTTCACAAACACAACACTTTTAGAGTTCTAAAAAGTTTAGGAGACATGTCTTCTTTTACCATGGAACAGTTTTATTTAGTACAATTTTAAGCAAATTCTAAGCAAAACTGAGGAATATATTTTACTGGTATTGTTAGCTATTAATTGTGGCTTTATGGAAAGTGGCTTTATGGAAATCCAGAAATGTTTTATGAAATTATTATGACTGAATGTATTTAACATTAAGTTATATGTATATTTGTTATCTAAATAGATCAAAAACCTTAAGAAAAATAGAAGCAGAAAGTTGATGGGATTATAACATGTTTAACTGTAAGACCCTTTAATGTTATTTTTGTAACACTATTTAAATTTGACAATTTTTGTGACTCTTGAGAATTAAATAAGAATGTATCTGTATTTGTTATTCATATCCTTATGATGTCATTACCACAGGCATGTTTCTAATATTGTACAATTTTCAACAAACTGTTTTTACAACACTTTTCTCGAAAGGAAATTAGGAAAAGAAATTAAAAAACCCGAGTGTCTTTATGACTGAATGATAAATATATTAATAAAATAAGTTAAATATATGGGATAAGTAAACCGTAAACATTCTTGGACAGTTCCCCTTTAACCTCTTCACTTTCTAACCCATTTTCTTTAAAGAAATATTAGCAGTAATATTTATTTAAAGCATGAAATGCATAGGTAGCACAATGTATTTCAATCAGCCCTCTCCCCTAGTGTAGGTATGGTATGACCCTCTCAGTACTCGAGCATAGAAGCACTAGTTGTAATGATACTATACTATGATGCTATAAATGTACCTGTGAACGTAGGAAGTAAAGGAGAGAATGAAAAGGTATTTTGCCCAACTCATTGTCCAAACTCTGTAGGTCTGACTTGAGATGCAGTTTCCACTTTGGGTTAGCTTTTTCTTTAATTTCCACAAATAAAAACAGTGCTTGAATTCCATCAGCTAAAAGAAATTAAAAAAAAAAACAGAATATTTTAACATAGTCAACTGGACATTGAATGTACAGAATTCATTCAGCCCCTAGCATTGGATTGATCGGCTACGATGTAAATCTATTAAGCAACGGGGAAGAAATGAATACATTTTTTGTACACACATGTTTTTTTTTTTTTTACCATAACATATACTGTATTGATAGGTAGATAACTGATATTATAATATAGCAAATATATGTCAGTGAACATACGTTAAAGAACAGTGTTAGGATGTGACCTGCTTCCATGGCCTAATACAATAATAATTTTTCAAAGATCTCGTTATTTATTTATTTTTCATTTATTAACATTTGGAATCTATATACTGAATTATAAGAACGTTATGAATGTACATGCCAGCACTGATTATGTCAGCTATGTCTTTACCCCGCTAATTGGGTTGATAATAGAGGACCAGGTGGCATGCCTGTTAGGTCATATAGGAGGATTGCCTCTAAGGTGGTTTGCCAATACCACCAAACATCTCATAATGGGAAACTAAGGTTCATAGAGGTCAATGGGAGAGGCATAGTTGTGTGCACATGCACTGGAGCACATATGAATTGTGTGCCAGTGCAAAAAGTTCTGCGTCCATGCAAGAACCTGGCTGATGGTAGACGTTTTTTCCAGGGCTCCTGGTTCCGTATATCTTAAAAATGGGCAGAGCTATCAATCTTTTTGAGCTGATGCTATTCTGTTGAGCTCTAGGAGACCTGCTGTTTATGAGTCTATTTTACTGTATTTCTACAATATTGGCAGCAAGATTTCTACCATTACCTGTAAATAGAAACAGAAGGAGCAATTATGGCTCCAACAGCATGGGCACATCCTATTAACTTAACAGGACATTAAGAGCTTTTAAAGCAAATACGAGTTTTGCTGCAGGAAGATATATGGGTCATGAGGATGGGGGTGACTGCACTCCCTGAATTTATTGTGGCTGTGGAAGGGGATATTAGCAGCCTATATTTCATGTACTTGGAGACTTATTCCTCGGCTAAAACCATAGAGAATGCCTATACTAATATCCACAAAAAAACTTGAAGTCTTGTAGGATAAACACAAGCTAATCCTGTGTATGAAAGGTGGAAAAGGTTGGACTAGAGATGCTACTAAATTTTTTGAGGAACATGCTTACCAGTTTTTGAAATCAATATCTTTGGATGGAGCGTTTCAGATACCTTGATCACTTAAGGAACCTTATGGATGACCAAACAATGTCCTGGTTCGATTTATATTGGAAATAGAAAGCTGCACTGATGGAAGTGGTCAGAACAAGCCTTCAAATCCATTTGAGAGCTCCCAGTTATCATTTAAAAGGACATGTCAAGGGAATGGTTTTATGGCATCAGTTTCTGTGTTAGTTACCATCAGCCTGAGAGCATATGGAGTACTATACATCTGGGGACCTTGGTGTACACTTACTCCAGTGAAAGAGGAAAATGCAGAATAAATGCAAAAGTACTGTTTCTGAATTCCTGCTCTCCTTGAAACTCCCTCAACAACACTGTCCCCTCAAGCAAGATCTGTTAAGCAGTAGGATGTAACCACTAAACCACTTTTATATTTATACCAATAAAATCAGAGTGATGGTGATTACCCGCCAGCTTAATTGATTCATTTATCAGCCACATCTGCCAGATACATACATTCAACCTTCAAACACATGGAGATCACATTTACAATCAATCTGTTTTTTAGTATTACACAATATCTGTCACAATAGCTCCTACGATGTCTTTCATGCACATTCCTTCTATTTCTTGTGTCAGAGACACTGATGTTGCACATAAAGCATGGTTGCCATTCAAAAGATTTTTCACAATAGCAAAAAACATACAAAGGTTGTGTAAAGTCCAGAAAGCGTAAAACACAGAGGAAAGTTGAGGTTTGTTTGCCAGAGAACCCACTTCATATACCATGTGCCTGAAAAGTGTGCAATGGCTTACAATCCATAGGGACATAATCATTATTACTGTCCCCTACACATTGCAGTCTTGCTCTTGACTGCTTCAGTGCCAGAGAACCAAATGTATCCAGTAAGTGCGCCATTCTTTACAGGTCATAGTGATCTGCACACTAGGCCTTGGTAAACAGCGGGTTAGAAAATCCTCCCAACAAATTTCTTCCAGTAAAGACATGACTTTTGTATGACTTTGCATGAACATAGAATGTGACAGCAGATAATAACCATTCGGCCCATCATGTCTGCCCAATTTTCTAAATGCATTCATTAATCCTTGGCCTTATCTCATAGCTGGGATAGCCTAATGCCTATCCCACGCATGCTTAAACGCCTTCACTGTGTTAACCTCTAGAACTTCAGCTGGAGGCTATTCCATGTATCCACTACGCTCTCAGTAAAGAAATACTTCCTGATATTATTTTTAAACCTTTGCCCCTATAATTTAAGACTATGTCCTCTTGTTGTGGTAGTTTTTCTTCTTTTAAATATAGTCTCCTCCTTTACTGTGTTGATTCCTTTTATGTATTTAAATGTTTCTATCATATCACCCCTGCCTCGTCTTTCCTCCATGCTATACATGTTAAGATCCTTTAACCTTTCCTTGTAGGTTTTATCCTGCAATCCATGAACCAGTTTAGTAGACTTTCTTTGAACTCTCTCTAAAGTATCAACATCCTTCTGGAGATATGGTCTCCAGTACTGCGTTCAATACTCCAAGTGAGGTCTCACCAGTGTTCTGTACAATGGCATGAGCGCTTCCCTCTTTCTACTGCTAATACCTCTCCCGATACAAAGACGCAATCTGCTAGCATTTCCTGCTGCTCTATTACATTATCTGCCTACCTTTAAGTCATCTGAAATAATAACCCCTAAATCCCTTTTCTCAGAAGTTGAGGTTAGGACTCTATCAAATATTCTGTACCCTTGGGTTTTTACGTCCAAGATGCATTATTTTGCACGTATCCACATTAAATGTCAGCTGCCACAACTCTGACCATTTTTATAGTTTACCTAAATAATTTGCCCTGTTACATATCTTAGTATCATTAGCAAATAGACATACCTTACCATTAAGTGCAATATCACTAATAAAAATATTAAAGAGAATGGGTCCAAGTACAGATCCCTGAGGTACCCCACTGGTGGCAAGACCATGATTCAAATATACTCCATTGACTACAACCTTCTATTGCCTGTCATTTAGCCACTGCCTAACCCATTCAACAATATTGGAATCCAAACTTAAAGATTGCAGTTTGTTGATAAGACTTCTATGTGCAACAGTGCCAAAAGCCTTACTGAAATATAGGTAAGCAATGTCTAATGCACCACCCTGTTCTATTATTTTAGTTACCCAATCAAAAAAACCATTTAGATTAGTTTGGCATGATCTCCCTGAAGTAAACGCATGTTGTCTCTGATCTTGAAATTCATGTGATTTTAGATGTTAAACAGACCTATGCTTTAACATGGTTTCCATTACTTTTCCCACTACTAAAGTAAGGCTTACTGACCTATAGTTGCCCAACTCCTCCTTACTACCTTTCTTGTGAACGTGCACAACATTCGCTAACTTCCAATCTTCCAATCTTCTAACTTCCAATCTTCTGGGACCACCAAGCACTTTGTTTTTCAATTTGACAATTTTTATTATCGTTTTGACCACCACCAAGCACTTTTAATAACTTTAGGTGTATTCCATCAGGCCCCACTGACTTATTTGTCTTTACTTTTGACAGTTGAAATAGAACCTCTTCCTCTGTAAACTCACATGTAACAAATTACTAATTTGCCCTTTTTCCTAACTGAGGCCCCTTTCCTTCATTTTCCTCTGTAAATACTGAAGAAAAATATTAATCGAGGCAGTAAGCTAGACCTCTTCTACATATCTTCCTTCTTTTGTTTTTAATCTAACTAATCCTTGTTTTATTTTACTTTTCTAATTTATGTATCTAAAAAAAGTTTTGTTCCATATTTTTACTGACTGTGCAATATTCTCTTCTGTGTGTGCTTTGGAGGCTCTTATAACTTGCTTAGCCTCTTTCTGCCTTATAGATCATTTTGTCTTCCTCACTCTGGGTTTTTTATAATTACTAAATGCTAACTTTTTGTTTTTTACTATTTTGGCCACATCTGCGGAGTACCACAGTGGTTTCTTACATTTTTTGCTTTTACTGACAAGCCTAATACAATTTTCTGTTGCCTTCAGCAATGCAACTTTTAAATAATCCCATTTCTCTTGGACTCCATTTAAACTGCTCCAGTCTGATAATTACTTCTTTACACATATTCTAATTTTAGAAAAGTCTGTTTTTCTAAAGTCTAAAACTTTGTTTATATTAAACCACACTGACTGATGATCACTGGATCCTAAACTTTCACCTACAGTAATATCTGATACCAAATCTCCATTTGTTAACACTAAATCTAGTATGGCCTCCTTACGAGTTGGCTCCGCAATGACTTGTTTTAGAGACAATCCCAGTAGGGAGTTTAGAATATGTGTGTGTAGCGGTACTTACCCTCTCCAAGGGCCTGGCGAGGTCCTCTTTCCCCGCCATGCACGGCTCGTCCGACGGGGAGATCCGGAAGGCGTGCACTGACCGTGATCGGGCACGCTTTTAAAGGGACAGTGCGAGCCAAAATACAATGCGAGCCATTTGCCCATGTCATTCCACATTCCCCATATACTCATGTTTTGGGGGCGTGGATATGACAGGGGCCAATCAAATGAAACAATAAGGTATTTATACTCACCTTTCCCTTAGCTCCCTGCCCTATCGTGGTTTCTGATTCAGTTCCCTTTAGTGCTTGCTTCGTATAGTAGTGGTGTTTTCGTGCTTGACCTTGGCTTTGTACATGACTCCATTTTTCTCTTTATCCCTGCTTTGTCTTGTTCGCCAGTTAACTGACTCCTGTGTACCAGTCCTTGGCTAGTTCTTTTTTTAGCTGTCTTTCTGTTCCCTTGACCTCAGCTCGTTCTTGACTCTGTCTTTTCCCTGTCTACGTCCCATTCTAAGGCCCGGTAAGACGTATCTTTTTATCTTGTCTCTCGTTGGACTAAATCTTGCGTGTTGGGGTATACTACCGTGACAGTGTGCTCCTGGCACAAGCAGCTATTTTGGTTTTAAAGTTCACATCAGGAAGATTAAAGTCACCCATGATGATAACTCCCCCCTTCATTGTCATTTTAGCTATTTCCTCTACTAGTAGATTATATAATTCTTTTATTTGTCCTGGAGGCCTAGAAATCCCACCTATACAAGTTACTGTGTGATTACCAAATTCTAACATATCCCAAATGGACTCTATGTTCGCCTCACTAACTTTTATTTTGTTTATCCCTTTTAAAAATACCTTCCAGCCCCTATTCCCCCAAAGTATCTACAGCCCTATTCATTCCAAAACACACACTCAGCCTGCATCCATCTCATCCCCTAAACACTATTCACATGCAAACAACCTCATCCACACAAACACACACAAAGTTACGACAGCCTCCCTGCCACACATGCAATCCTACAAGCAGCCTCATCTCATGTGAGTGACCCCACACACTCATCCCCACAGATTGCATCCCCAAAATCATGCAACACCAGAAGTACCCTCACAAGGCAACATCACAAGTAGCCAAACATAATCTGAAAGTTCCTCTAACACAACAAGCTTCCTCCCCCCATGCAACTCTACAAGCAGCCTTGTCCCACTTATCATCCAATCACTCATTTAGTCGCATTCACCATACAAACATACTCCAAATAGTCGCATTCACCCATTCAGTCACTTACACCAATTCATTTGCATGTATGAAAATATGAAGGGTGGGAGTGCATTAAGGACACTTGCCTTGGGACAGCAAAAATAGTAAATCCATACCGGCTTACCATATTCAAGATAACATGAAGTAAAGGGTGTTTAGTATAAACCCTTCTTGTTTTTTTCTCAGAACACTAAATTGCAGAGAGCTAAAACAAATCTGGAAAATGTAGGCTACAATAGCTCATCTGTGATAATCAGAGTTATTCAATAAAGTTCAAATGCAGTCAGGATCTGCATAATTCAGTTAAAACTATTCTCATGTTTACTAATGGCCAGCCTGGTTGAAAATTGGATTTTTGCAACCAAAAGAGCACATCTGTTTCAGTACCATCCAGTGTCCGATTTAAAATCAGTAATCTTCACATTGATATCCAATATAAAACATACTTAGTATTTGCATATTTATCAAATGCCAAATTTCAGCACGATTCTAAACAAATCCATTGCAGTATTTGCACTGTGCAAGAAGCCAGCACAAATTAAAATAATCATACATTGAAAAAATAATAAGAATCTAATAACGCATATCAGGAAATGAATAATGTACATTTTACAAAAAACTAAATTACTATGGTATTAAAGTGATAGTATAGTTAGTAAAACAACTTTAGCTTCATGAAGCAGTTTTGATATATAGATCATGCCCCCGCAGTCTCACTGCTCAATTCTCTTCCACTTAAAGGACCACTCTAGGCACCCAGACCACTTCAGCTTAATGAAGTGGTTTGGGTGCCAGGTCCTTCTAGGGTTAACCCATTTTTTCATAAACATAGCAGTTTCAGAGAAACTGCTATGTTTATCAATGGGTTAAGCCTTCCCCCTATTCCTCTAGTGGCTGTCTCATTGACAGCCACTAGAGGCGCTTGCGTGCTTCTCACTGTGATTTTCACAGTGAGAGCACGCCAGCGTCCATAGGAAAGCATTGAGAATGCTTTCCTATGTGACCGGCTGAATGCGCGCGCAGCTCTTGCCGCGTGTGTGCATTCAGCCGACGGGGCGGATCGGAGGAGGAGAGGAGGCAGAGAGCTCTCCGCCCAGCGCTGGAAAAAGGTAAGTTTTTAACCCTTTCCCCTTTCCAGAGCCGGGCGGGAGGGGGACCCTGAGGGTGGGGGCACACTCAGGGCACTATAGTGCCAGGAAAATGAGTATGTTTTCCTGGCACTATAGTGGTCCTTTAAGAGTTAAATCACTTTGTTTATGCAGCCCTATGTACACCTCCCTGCATAGGACTTACACATCCTTCCTAAACACTTCTTGTAAAAAGCCA